TTAACGGTATCAAACAATTGTAGTTTGTGAAATAGCTAGAAAAACTTAAAAGCTTTTCAGAGCATAACCTATAACCCACGCAAGTCAACCAAAGTATAAACATTTTGGAAAAAAAAGACGGTAACTAAGACAACAACTTAAATTCTGATGTGGTGACATCGAAAAAATAAACTAGATAAATCTACACTTCAAATAATTTTTTCTACCAGTGTATCAAAAAACTGTTAATAAATGTTTGGGGAACCTTGTTCCAAAGTGCAAATCTCAAGAAAATTATGGCTCTTCCAGTAGTGCCGAATGAAGTCTTCTGTGAACGTTGTCTCAGCTGCAACAAACCGCAAAGTTAGCTGTCCGCTGGAAATGCCATTGTTTACTAGTCTTTTCAACTAAATTTTCTGTGATAAAAACAGACAAAAAAGTAACTTGTAAGGGTAGTACTTTCAAATTCAGAATACTAGAGATGAGGGTCAGCCCTTAAAGCAAAAAATCGTGACGGTGTATTCTTTTTAAGCCTGGTTTAGTATCCTGTCATGCAAAAACTGTTAGATTTATTAGATCATTCATTATCTTATCCTGTTAAGTTCATACGCACTGCTGCTAAAGAAACCATGTATTGGCTTTACCACAGTGCAAAAAAAAAAAATCCGTCCAACTCTATCATAAACCTGTAACAAAAATCGTATTTTGCTCCAAACTTTTGTTTTTCTTTACCACCACTTTTCACTTTATTTCTGTGCGCACAAATCGCCATATTATCAAATTACTTAATAGAATAAATAACATAGTTGTTAACACATATGCAAAAAAATTTACACCCATCAGAAACTAACAAACGAAAATTACAATTTTCGCAACCACTTTAATTGAACAACATTTTAAGTAAAATTTGAAGTGATCAATCTTTTTTTTTTGACCTGTTGAACCACCTTTTCTTCAGGAGACTTTTGATTATAAGTGAAAATAGGAGTAGCTGGTGACTAATCCCCAGTCCACAATGAAAATTTTATATTTACCATACCAAACTAAAGACTATTACATTTTTATATTTGTCCCAAAACACTCTGTTTAGCTTAGTGTAGCAAAACGTTTGTAGATCTGCTGTTTCAACAATTTAGCGACTGGAAGTTAACTAAGGTGAAATTGTATTGGAGGACCAGTTATCAACAACATCGGCTCTGTCGGTTCATGGAAAAAAAGAAAGCAGACGAGCTAAACCCGAAAAATATCGATCATCTTATCGCACCAAACCCAATTCACTAGTTAACTGTAGCACTTTCTAATCCTAGTGACAAAGCTAAACAAAGGTTATTCCATCAACTGCACAGCAAGCAGTTAATGCCGCCTCCCCGCAAAAGAATCTGTAAGCACCTAATTCACAAAAAGCCGCCATTCGCTACAGTAGCCTTCTTTCTTAATTGACCTTACATTCTAAAAAAGATATATATATATATAT